GGTTCTAAAGAAATTAAACAATTTAAATGATATATTTCTCTCTAAAAAAATGGCAATCCATAAAAAAAATGAATAACCCAGTCATGGTCAATAATCACGGAAACAGGGTGTGGTTTTACCAAGAAAAGCTGAAAAACTATGTAATGGTCCCATAGGACGGTACAGATCAAATATTCCCTTATAGCAGGCGTCTCTGATTATGCAGCAGAATGGCCTGTTCAGTGGCAAATAGCCTATCAGTAAATCCAGGAGCATGTATGTTGACTGAAAAAAAAAACAAAATTACCCCATGCCATGGTGGTTTGATGTGTTCAAATGTGAAGCAGTGACTTTTCTATTGAAGCAAATTATCAATGACGAGAAAGCGTTACAGAGTAAATCATAAGCAAAATGTCTACAGAAAATTAGAACCGCATAACCAAAGCATACCAGATTCAGTAACACATCCCAGAAGTTTAATGACGTAAGGCTGTGGTTTCAGCTGCTTCATTGTGTCAAGTTCTTTCATCAAATCTCTCTTGTCCGATTCAGTAGCGTTTGCTGGAGCGTTAAAAACAAGGAGTAAAATTTGGTTAACGGGAATAATATGCGAAATGTCGAAATAACAACATAAGTTATGAAATGGCTAAAAAATTACAGCAACTCAATAACATTTCCTGAATGACTGTACCCAAGACTGTCATTCATTTTAAAGTAAAAGAGCTCACTTTTAAGCATCTTTATAGCCACTGTGGTCGTTTCAGGACACCCGTGAAGTCCCACTGCTGTTCCCTTGGCAATCTGACCAAATGCACCTTTACCAATGACTTTTTCTATGGTCACGTGATGTCTTGGAACTTCCCAACAGCGTGTTAACGGATTAAGAGGCACGTAATCAGCACCTGAAGCGGTACTTTGTGCTTTTCTTTTATCTTTGTTGACTTCTATGAGATCCATATAGCCCGTAGGGGGCTGAGTGAGTTCTCTTGAATCGGGCTGACTTGGTTCGATATCTTCTAATCCTGGTTCATTCTATTAAACCAACATACTGTTGAGGTATTCCTGTACAAATCTGTTATTAATCCCAAATGGCTATTAAAATCAGGTTAGCCATTTTTATCAGGCAAACGTTTATATTCTTCCATGACAAGAGATTACAAATAGTTTATAATCCCTACTGTCCTTATTATTACTAACATTTTGTTCTCTGCTTTTGAAACTATCATGTCCAATGGACCGATCGAGGTTCATAGCATATTCGTCGAAAATACAAACTGCATCAGGAAGACTGTCGATTGGTAGTGCAGTTTTTGACAAATACATGCACGAAAAACTCTCGCTGTACTCAGCTCCTAGACTAACGTTTAGAAAATAAGGCATCAAGAAAATAAGATGGCCAAAACTGCGCGAAAGCAGTTATTTAGAAAGAAAATATCAACCGGGTGCGTACCAGTTAGCGATCTATGAAGTAAAGCCACGCAGTTGAACCAGGAACAACCGAAAGAAAATCCATGGAGCAGCTTGGTAAAGGACATGATCCCAAGACAAAGACCCTATCGAGCCTAACTCCCTCCTCTATTTCATTGAATCTGCCATTAATGCAATATGCTTTTTTTGTAGAATCTTATAGAACATGATGCTATGCTGTGATTAGTTGTTTTTTCAACAGCTCTGAAGTCTGAACCAAGAAAGAGCACGATCGAGACATTCGACTCGCCTGTACCGAGACCTCCGCCGTTTCAGAGCACCGTCACAACACCGGACACAAGCCATTCTAGAACGAAGTAAAGTTTATTGATCGTGACCCATATTACTACACGCGCAGGGTCAAAGAGGCAATTTATATATAAGACTTCACCTTAACAACATCAACAGGGATAGTGGAAAAGAAATTCCAGAAGCGTGGATGCCCACGATCAAAAACACAACAACAGAAGAGCCTTGCGACAGCGGACCGCCGAGGGAGCAAATCATTGTGTGAACAGCAAGGATCGAAATGCATCAATCAGAGCTGTTGAAAAAACAACTAATCACAGCCGAGCGTCATGCTCTATAAGATCACGCATGACCAGTCGACCTCATCCAAGACTAGCAGTATGTGGTCGAAACGTCGCGATCTACATCACACGTGACTACATCGTAAGACAAACGAAAAACTAAGCTTTTATTTAGCGTTTAATTTCTTATAGAAAGTAGAGCTACAGTGAGATTATGTAATTTCTGGCCGCACTAACATGACCGCAATGTCCTGACTGTTACTTACGTCGTAAACACCTCTTTCATCTTCACAAGTCCTACAATTGAAAAAGCATATGAATACTTATAAAAAGCTGAAACTTCATCAGATTTAAGTGGAATTTCGTGTTCAGATTAAACCATATCTGGTACATTACATCGACAGAATCCAAGTGGCAGCAAATTCCTACCTCTGTTTCCCTACAGCGCCTGAAAAAGAACGGAAGGAAAAAGTGACAAATAATGTGGATATGGGTCAAAATCT